ACACATAAATTTTGATTTTAAGATCGTAACACAAATTCAATAACAATAAAATTCGTATTGTTGCGATAGAAAAAGACAAATTTCGCATTTTTGTTCATTCAGTCCGTTAAGAATATTAATGTTAACGCATATTGAACAGATAAAAACAGTAAAACACTTTTAAAAAGCGTAGACTTTTTAAATTTGCCATTGTAGATAACTTTTTCAAAACAGTCCTTAAATGCACTGGCGTAGAAACAATAGGGGGGGGGGGGTCGGTGTTGCAACAGGACGATACGGCGTAGGAACAGGGAGCGGAATGGTGTAATACCCAACTTTTGCAAAATTTCTTTTTTTTTCACTCAAATTTTGATTCTAGGTGTAATAGCCTGGAAAAAAGCTAAAAGCCGTTTCGGTTTGGGGTCGTCCATAAATTACGTCACGGGGAGGGGGGAGGGGTTAGTGGTTTTTTACTCATACAAAACTTGTTACTAAAGTGTCACAATGTTGTGATAAGGAGGGGGATGAAAGGGTTTAAAATGGTCAAAAATTGCATGACTTAATTTGTGGACGACTCCTTGTTAAAAAAAAGTGAAAACGTTCCACGTGTAAATGCGAGAGTTATCTTTATCAATGAAAGCAACCAGAAGAATATTCTTATTATCAATTACAAATTGAAGCGCTACCGATTTATTTTGTTATTCATTTCCAAAGTTTAGAAATGCGTTTAGACTAAAATTTGTTTAGAATAAACGAATTTTAATGCTTTTGCATATTGCTGCCCTTATTGATGCTTTATGAAATTAGACTATGAAGATGCTTTATGAAATAAGACAAGTTATTATTTGCAGTTAAGTTTATGCTATTTACAAATCCAAATTGTTAGGATTATAAACCAAATTTATATCGATAAAATATTTTTTGAACAATGTATTTCAAGTCTCAAATTACTGGACCACCTAGCACCGGAAAATATTCAGCTATAAAAATGAAATTTTAACTCAAAAAAGTACTTCAAATTCGCAGTCATTTAAAATCATTTTATTTGACTTAAACTACGTGCAAAATAGTGTTGCAATAGCTCATTTTATTTGACTTAAACTACGTGCAAAATAGTGTTGCAATAGCTCATTTGAAAGATAGTATTTGATTTTATTTAATTATGCAATGAAAAAAGAGGTTTTAAAATCATTTTATTTGACTTAAACTACGTGCAAAATAGTGTTGCAATAGCTCATTTGAAAGATAGTATTTGATTTTATTTAATTATGCAATAAAAAAAGAGGTTTTAAAACCATTTTATTTGACTTAAACTACGTGCAAAATAGTGTTGCAATAGCTCATTTGAAAGATAGTATTTTATTTAATTATGTAATAAAAAAAGAGGTTTTAAAACTAACAACTATTTTATGCTTAATAGTAATACAAAAATATTTTATAATAAAAAAAAATTGAAAAAAAAGGAAAGCTTTTTCTTCTTCTATCTTAAAAACATACGGCATGATAATTATATAAAAAAATATACATTTTATAAAAGCTGAATGTTTAAGCTATAAAATAGTATAAATCATTTAGTTTTGAGAATATATTTTTTTTACAGGTCTACGACCTGGCCTACTGTGCGTCGGAGCGGAACAGTTTGGTTAACGTTTCGGTATCTTTCGAGTTAAAAACTACCCGTTTTAGAACGGATAGTATAAGATGATCTTAACTGTTGACTGATGATCAATAAAGTAAATTTCAAATTATGAAAAATTACTAAGTTTAAACCATATTTCAACAGTAGACAAATTAGGCATAAATAACTAAGAAGCGCAGAACCTGAAGGACGAACTAAGAAAAGGAAAAAAAGAATATAATATTATAAATAAAAAAAGACATTTTTAAATTTGAATAAAATATGTATGCCGTTTAATGAAAATATAAAATATACAATACCAGTTTATGAAAATAAATAATAGAAATGGCAAAGATAGAACTTAAAAATAGATATTGTTAAAACTTTTGTTTTTAAAGTTGGAAAAATATAAAAAGTTAATATAACATTACTATATCTTTAGATTAAAATTATTATCATATGTTGGACTAATAACTATCTGATAATATGAATACGCTAATTTAATATTATTACTATTAGTCGAGTTACGTCATTTTCTAGGCTTTTCTATTTTAAAGTAGTTTCTAGGCTTTTCTATACGCGGTTTTTTTTTTTAATTTTATTTACTAACAACGTGTATTACGGGTTGCTTACTGCTAGTACTAATTAAAGCATGATTAACACTTGTCTTAATTTCCAATGTTCCTAAAGTAAAGAAATGGTCCTAGTAATATGAAAAGCCCTAGAAATTCCAATTACAGTGCAAATAATATAGCTATTTATTTTAAGATGTCATTAGAATAATATAGTTATAACATTTCTATCATTATCATTCAACACCATTATCATACATTTCATATTGAATGATTTACTAGTGGGAGGGGATTATTCAGATGCAACTATAGTGATTTACTAGGGGAAGGTGGTAATTCAGGCAGATATAAGTATATATTTTAAAGTATATTTACGTAATTACATAACTAAATAGTTCATAGATGTATAATATTTCTCATATGATTTAATGCTATTATCATACTATCTTACACCGCGTGATTTACTAGGGGAAGGTAATAATACAGGCAGACTCTAGTAAATTATTACCTCCACCTTCATGCTATTAATTCAGGCAGGCATTAAAGTATTTGTAAATTATTTCCTGTAAGTACATTAGTTTATAGTTGTATAACTTCCATCATTATTAACCAACACCATTATCTAACTATCACGTGTTGAATGATTTTCTAAGATGGAGGTGAATTTTAGACGCAAATTTAGTAATTTACTAGGGGAAGGTAGTAATTCAAAACAGATATTTATAAAAATCAAACAGATATTTAAAAAATATTTATAAAGTATTTTGATGTAAAGATAAAATTAGTTAGTTTATTGTTATACATTTTCAATCGCTATCAATCTTTTTTACATCGCCTTTGTTATACTAACTTTCAAAAGTACGAATTTGGAATATCAAAATTAACCAATTAAACTTCCTTTTTAGAATTATTATCCTCTAAGCATCTTTTCTCGTTGTTTATGTTTAGATTTATTACTAATTTTGAAACATTATTAATGCTTTGTAAATTCAAGAAATTGATGACATCCAGGAAGTTAATGACATGCATAATGTGAATTAGTAAGATCTTTGCTGGAGCTATTTTAGCTGAAAGTATAATAAAGAGAAAAAAAAAATGAAAGTATAATGAAGATTATGTTAGATTTGGTTTTAATAGTTTTGTGATTAATAGCACAAAAAAACTATTATATCTTTTTGTTTGTGACAAAATAAATTAAAAGTTCGTCTTCAAAACCTTCATCAACGCATACCACAAAAAATAAAAGTTATTTTGAGAAATTAAATATTTTTTTGTAAAAAGAAACACTTTATTACTTCGCCATTTTTTTAAATGAAATGAAGTTGCACTGCATCATGTAAAGTTGCTAAAACAATTTGGGAGAAGCAAAAATAGTGTGTTGATGTTATTGTACAGCTTATGATTTTGGATGAAGCTGCTGAGAAGACAAAACAGGTATCTATATTTATGTTTACAATTAAAAGCAGAACTATTGAAATGAACAAGAATACTGCGCCACAATTTGTTTCTGAAATAAGAAAAGATACAATATTTGCTATGTTACCTAATGAATTTACAGATGTTGTATCGCTGGCTCAACTAATCTGCAATGTAAAATAGGTTAGCAATAAAAACAGAGTTTCTTTTTTGAAAAAAAAAAGAAACTCTTCTTTCATTGAAAAAAAAAACTACATCAAAAGATGACACATTTTCAAAACTTTGAATGCCAATTCTGAGAAATACCAAACTGATTTGAAAAAACTGATTTTTGTAATAAGCGGGATTTTTGTACAAAGCGGGAAATTAAATTAGTTAAATGAAATTAATGCCAGAAATAAAATTAATGCAACTCAAATTCCTAGGAATTTGAGCTGCATTAGTTTCAACTTAGTATCATTAAAACAAAACAAATAGACAGACTAGACGAGGAGCCAGATGCTCGCGTTACGTTATCATTAATTGAGCCAAACATTAAAGATCGCGTGTGCAAGAAGCAAGCTCATAATTTGCATTAAGTGTTTTGAATTTTTAGTAAAAAAAGTTTTTTTGAACATGGAATATATTTTATTTTATTTTTACTAACAGTATGGTTTTTTTTTTTAACTTACAACTACTAATATTTATTTTTATTTTATTTTTTTTATTAAAAAAAAGGGGAATTAAAGAAAAAGGTTTAGGATCTGTTGAGTTAAGAATTAGGAAAAAACATAAAATTACAATTTTTTAATCGGATAAGTACAATCGTAAAATTTTACTTATTCATTAAAAGTTACTCGTTGTAACAATTTACTAAAAGTTACAATTTTAATGATAGGACCTTATCTATTTAAAATTGGATTTCAAAATTTTATTGTTTTGTAATTTTCAGTTAAAAATTTATTTAATTAGTTTAAAAAATTAATTTTTGAAACTAATTAAATTTACAGAAAGTCTATTAAAACGTTCAACATTTAATTTTTGATGTCAAAATGCCTCTCCAGCATTTTTTTCAAAGTCTTGCAAATTGTTTATTACTACGAAAATATTTACTAGCATAAAAAAAAAAAATTTTAATGACATAGGAATTCGAGTTTATTTTTAAATTTATTCAGTCATCAACGTAATAAAAAATAAAAAAACTTATTGACAAAGGTGAAGTCTGAATTTATTTAAAAGCATGACTTTCCCTTACTATAATGCAGATGAATAAAGTTTTTGAACGACATTTTTTTTTTATAAAAATGAATAAAACTTATATATGTATATACATAAATATACTTTCCAACTGCACAAACACTTTTCGACTGTTTACAATGCCTTGAAAGCTGGATAAACGATGATATGAAAGAGAAAAAAAGAAATGACAACGTAGTTTTCTAAAGTTGCGACACCGTTGTAGACTGTTTAATAATTGCCAAAAAATTGTTTATGATATTGCTAATAACGACCATTTTTTCAAATGATATTTGTGAGTTTTGTAATTTTGGCTCTCGCCTGTTTTAATGGCTCAAATAGCCAGTTAGTTAAAGGTAAAGTATTAATAATAAATAAAAGTTAAAAATTATATTTCTTTGGCCCCGATTTTGTAAAATTTTAGTCCCCCGCGAAGTCTTGTGTGTAACACAAAGTTTTTTCAAATACACAAAATTTTTTATTATTTGTATAATAATAACTTGAAATGATTTTCCACTTTTTTTGTTTTTTATTTCATAACTTTATCGCATCTAATACTCTTTTACTAAGTGTAGTTGATTTACAATTGTATTATTGTATTTTGTTTAAATAATTTGAATTATATAAGCTTAGTGTTTACTTTTAATAGGAGTTGCCGCACCAACGAAGATGCAGTACATACTCTAGGTCACTTCAGATTTTCTTACTTTTCGTAAGAAAATCTGAAGTGATCAGAGCGTTAGAAAACTCATTCTTGCCTAATAAATTTGGCATCAAATTGTTTAGACTAAAAGTTGACTTTTTAGTCTTAACGATATTTTAAATTATGTTATATAGTATAGCATATCAAGAATTAAAAATATGAAACAACAATCAAAAAAGAATAAAATAGGGAAAGTGGGAGCACAACCCATAAGTGGGAGTGGGAGCATAACATATTCTATTCATGTTTAAATATAAATTTGGATTAGTGCAATCACGTTTTTTAGATAATATTTTTAAAAGTAATACAAACACATACACCATAAGAGAAACTGGAAAATTTACATTATCAATAAAGTTTTCACGATTCTTTATTTCATCCCGGAGTCCGTACCTTTATAACAAAATAATATCCAAAAATATAGAACTCAAAACAATAACTAGTTCTGTCACTTTGAAAAAAAAACTAAATTCCTGTTACTCAATTCAAACTGATTTATTGACATGTAATAAACATTTATGTGTATCACTTGCTATTATTTAACAATTATGACAGTATTAACCAATAAATTTAGGTACTCGACAATAAGACTCTCTACTCTTCTACGAGTTATCCTTTACAATTATGCGTTTTGCATTAACAATGCTCAACAGTACAATTAAGTTTGCTGCTTTAACATCTTATTATACAGATTGTAAATTTTCAACAACAACCACGAGCCCAGTCTCTAGTAGCCCAGTGGTACGACGAACTTGCATAAATTCTTTAAATGCATGGTTTAATAACCAGCAATATATTTTTTAAATTACGAGTTTTAAAAAACGTTATTATCAGTCTTATTTATGATTTTTAAATATGCGTGGCACAGTAGCTTTTTAAAAAAGTTAGTCAAGAAATTGTGGCGCTTTTAGGTATAGGAGGAAAGGAGAAGGGAGTTGAGAGGGCAAATTCAAAGGGTTTAAAAAACTTTCAAGAAACCAGGTATTTACAAACTCTTTAACAAAAAGGTTCAAATGGTGGTGCATTATTCACGCCTCTACGAAAGCGGAACATTGCATCCGCTCAATTTGCCATTCTTTAGCCTATCTCCTAACGTCGTAAAGTTGCATTTCTTTTTCTTTGCTCAAAGGAGCTACTATCTTTAGCTCCATCAACTAAAACTCATTCTTGATTGACTCGTCATTCTGCAAAGCCTCATAAAGCACTAATTGTTTCAGACACCCCTTTTAAAGATTTCAAAAAAGAAGCATAGAGTTACACTAATTTAGAACAATTAAAAGAAAAAAAATACAACACACAAATTAAAAAACTTTAATACTTCAAATTTAATACACAGTATAATTAGCATAATTAACACAGTATTAAATTATTTTATTTCTAAACATTCACAACAAATAGTTTTTCTACTTTTAGCTACTTTCTTAGCTCAGTTTTTAATTGATCGTTAAAATAATAGTTTCTGCAACAAAAATATAAAGTTCCAGATTACGTTATACACTCTCTGCATTTTTAAAATTTGTATAAGATCAAATCGAGTTCTGCATTAAATAAAACTTTTTTAAAAACAACGGAAGGTAAATCTTATTATTAAAATAACCGTTAAGTGTTTTTGCGACGTATTTTTATTAAACGAATAGCAAATAGTAATTCGATTACATGTTTAACGAATATTTGCTGTTGATTTAACGAATATTTGCTAACGAATATTTGCTAACGAATATTTGCTATTCATTCTAACTTTGTCAATTACTGATTAAGCACCGAACTTCGTCGGTGCTTAATCAGTAAATGCCTAATGAGTTAGTAAATTAGTTAATTAACTAATGTTGTAAATTAGTTAATTAGTAATTAGTTAATAATACGCTATAGCCGTAACACAATTCTATACGCGCTACATTCAAATCATTTTTATACAAACCGTTTAAAACGATAATTTTGATGTAAACTACATTATTTCCGAGACAATGTTAAAAATAATTAAAATCTAAATAGACACTTAACATATTATTACCATTTATATAACAAAAATTATTACTATTAACGTGAAAAATACATTAATAGTTACATAGTACAGCAATAACATGAATATTAACCGTAAAGTAAAAAAAAAAAAGTAAATAAACCAATTTGCGATGTTGCCGGTGAACAGTTATTCTTAGGGATGACCATAAATAGACCTTTTCATAAAGCATTCCGTGAAAACGAGGCAGTGTTTGTAACAATCAAAACAAATCGACGATGTTTAAAAATGGCGATATTGTCTGGGTTGCAATGTGCTTTTTATAAATGTTTTTCAAATAGCTATGATAGATAATGTAAATGGAATTAGAGTTCCAACAAATATTATATTTTTCACATTTTTAACTGTAGAAAGAAATATTTGGTGTAACTTAATAAAAAGACAAGAAAAGAAAGATAATTTAAAAACAACAAATCTACTTGATTATGTCAAAAGCATTTCTTACAAGAAATGGTCCATAAAACCCCATTTGGTACACAAATAAAACTTATAAAAGTTTTTAGGACAATATTGCACTCATGAAATAAATTTTCAGTGTCAGATACATCCAGAAAACCACAAAGTTTCAGACAATGTTTGTTTAAAAATGTCGATGACGATTAGTCTGCTTCAGCACAATTTTCATCGCCACAAAATGAAGTAGATATCTCTTTATCGACATTATTGTCAGCGCCACTAGAAGAAGTAGACTTTAAAGTAAATGTTGCTGAAGGTAAATTAGTAGATTCATTTATCCAGTATAGTTTATACTGGATTTCCATCAATAACCAAGCTGTTTAAGCATTTTTAGATGGAAAAAAATGGAAAAAACAATTTTTTATAACAATCAATAAACAAAAACACTTCATCTACCGGACGACCAAGAGTATTAAAGCCGCTTGATGCATAAATATATTTATTTATTTTAACATTGACTTGTTTATATGGGAACTTTGATCTTTGTTTTTATTTATTTTTATACAATATTTCAGAAGGAACAGTTTCAAATACTGTAAATACATGGATATATTTTATGTATAAGACATCTGCATATGGCCTTGTATGGAGTGAGTTAGGAAGAAAATTTCCTAATAAATTCAGGAAAAGCTCCCTACTGTAAAATGTATCATTGATTGTGTAGAGTACAAAGTTAATAAACTATCTTAATTATTTATGCACAAAATTATGTAATTAGATAATAAAAATCATACAATAGTTAAAGTTTTAGTAGGAAATACACCCGGGGGAGGATTTATGTTTATTACGTTAATCAAGGTAAAACTGACTGTGGCTTTACAATAGCAGAATACTATAGACCACTTAGTGTAATATTGTTTTACCATTATTTGGTTAAGGGTAGAGAAAAACTTACTATTGAACAAAACAGTTTTAAGTCAACAAATTGCAAACTAAAGAATCCTTGTGGAGAGAATAATATAGAATTTTATAAAATTCAAATATTATAAAGGCTAAATATTATAGTTGGTACATGGTGAAAATAGTATATATACTAAATATATATATATAAAAATATGATTTGTCAGATCATTGTATAAATTTTAGCAAATTATTTTAGCAAGTAAAATAGTGCTGATATGTAAAGTAAAGAGAAGAAACATAAAGGTGTTGCATTCTACCTGTATCTTTGGAGCTATTTTGTGAAGAATTTAAAAAACAAAGAGAAAAAGACAAAAATACAAAAAAATGCAATAAATAAAAAATTTAATAAAAAAAAAAAATAATTTATTAATCAAGAAATAACTCCTGATGTTGAAAGTTTTAAATATTCAAGTTGATTTTTATTTAGTAAAAATTAAAACAAAAAAACAAAAAATCTATTAAAAAAAATTACATAACTGCCAATTAAGAAAAAAGAATCCAGAAATGGAGAGCTAATCTTAGGCAACAACATGACAATTTACAAACGGAGTGCAAAGTCCTATGGCTTACCTTCTCGTTGGTGCACTTCGTTAAATAAGTTAAACAAGTAGTAAATGTCTAATTAATGAACAAAATAGCCAAGGCAACATTTTTATTAGTTTTATTTAAGATGAGTAATTGAGACCAATGCTAAGTAAGTAATAAAATAATACCTTCAAATTTTGTTGCTTGATTTATAAAATCTTTATTCATCACTGCATCACTTAGTTTATGATTCAAAAGATAAACATCTGGCAGACGTTAAACTTTTAAAATCATTTCTAAAAGTGCAGTTTAGCTTGTACTTTCTTGACTATCACATAGCATCATTAAATAGAATATATAGTAATTAAAAATTAAATTTTAAAAACTATTTTTAAAAAATTACATAACTGCCTATTTAGAAAAGAAAAGAATCCAGAAATAGAGGGCTAACCTAAGTCTACAATGCTTTACTTTTTTAAGGCTACAATACTAATACTTACTCTGTGTGTGTCTATATATATATATATATATATATATATATATATATATATATATATATATATATATATATATATATATATATATATATATATATATATATATATATATATATATATATATATATATATATATATATATATACACACACACAGTAAGTTTTAGTATTATAGCCTTAAAAGGTAGACTTAGGTTAGCCCTCTATTTCTGGATACTTTCCTTTTCTAAGTAGGCAGTTATGTAATTTTTTT